AGGACCGGGCCAGCCCCGCAGAAGGGCGCGGCGCTGAGGGGAGAGCTGGGAGGGGCGGCTTATGAGAGGGCTTCGTAAATGCCAGCAGCTGTGGGGTGTTATCTCGGAAATACGTCCGGGCTTGAGCGTGACAGAGCGGGGTCGAGAAAGTTGTAGTTTTAACTTCTGGTTTTACTTAGTTTATCCTCGAGCGGGGTTAATACAAAGATGTCACTAATCCGTCCCTATTTTTGCCGCTTACTGCTGCTGAGCTTTTAGGCCGCCTAATTTTTTCAGCTGTTATCACGCTCACTTTGCTTTATTAAAAAAAACATAGCATCAAGAAACTTGGGAAAAAAAAAAGAGTCCCATGTCACAAAAAATAGTCAATGACAAAACTAGGGCAATAAATAAGTTAGCATGAGGGAATTCCTATCCTACACATTTTCTAACTTTTAGGTGAAACAAAGGAGAGGTCTTGGAGACAGCAACCTACATAAGCTGGATTTGTTCTCTGGGCCTAGTCAGTGGATCGTGCTAAGGAGGTGTGGTAGGTTACTGACTTGATTTTTTTATTGTCTTTGCAACTGAAACAAGATTTTTACTGTTAGGTTTTTGTATGTGTGAATACTTGGGTTTAGTTACACACAAATCATCAAAGGTGCTGATTCTAACAGCAGTGCAATGATGGTTTTCTTTTTCCTATCAGCTGTTTAACAGCACACATCAATACATCCCAGCTGCTTAGGACAGAAAGGGAAAGTTATTTCTGCAGTTGAAACCAGAGAGGTCATTATCTCTTGGCTAGAAGTAATTAAAATAGTGAAATTAGTTCACAACTTGCTGTACTGTGTGTTGGCAAGTAACACATTACCTATATGGGGACGTGGTATCAGATATGTCCCATACCACCAGTTCCCTAAAGAGAAAGCAACTCCAAATTTTTATTGCTGTTGAATTAGTAAGCCATTTCAGTTCAACTGCGAAACATAAAAAGTATGGATAAATGTTGTTACTATGTTGGTGTATTCTTGGTGATAAAACTAGTGCTGAGATATATCAATACATCTCTATAGAGATATGCAAATGACATGCAGCCACGTGACTCCTGGCAAGTGACTATGGCTACCCCACCATCCAAGAAGAACAGATGCCTGTCTGTAACAGCAGCCCATTTAGCATGTGAATTACTTTCAGCTGGGAGAATGGAGATTCTCCAGTTGTCCTATGGTAATAAATGCCTGAAGCCAATGTTGGTCAAAGTCATACGGCATTATACCAATGATGTATCATTATATCAATGATATTATATATCAATTATATATCATTATATCAATTATATATCATATCAATTATATATCATATCAATGATACATCTTTATATTATTTTTCTTGCTCTCACGTTTAGAGGGATTGTTTTAAACTAGCTGCTATAAATGTTGTTTGAATTACGGAAAGCATTAACTTTTCTTAAAATAAGGTGCTAATAAAAGCGTTAAACATTTTCATTATGTTACTTTAAACAATTATACTGTTTTATCTGTGTCACCAGTGTACACACTGAGAAGGCTCAGGGGGGACCTTCTTTACAGTAGGGGAGCTGCTTTACCTTGAGGGTGGTCAGGGACTGGGACAGGTTTCCCAGAGAGAACCTGTGCTTGGAGATGCTTGGAGCCGCCTGGGCAGGCCCACAGTTGCCAGGGCAAGAGCAGCCTCCCGGGGTGCCTTCCAGCGGCAGCAGTTCCTCGGTTCTGCGTTGTTACAATACACAACAAGTTCATGAGCTTCAGGCGCAGCAGGCAACGCTTGCTGGAGAGGTGGGATGGGGTACCTGGACAACCAAGTGAGTTTCTTTGCCGATTTTGTACACCTGGTACTAGCAGTCTCAAAGGCAGCTTCAGCAGCTAGCACTGCTCCGCTCATCCTCAGAAACCACAGCAGAGCAGCACGATCTCTTTTCCTCTGCTTCAGCTCTTGTTAACGGTAGTCCTGAAGGATAAAACACGGCTTATTTTTAATTCCCATGTTTCTAGAACGAGTCCCAGCCAGAGTGCTGGCGTGGGCCCCGGAGCAGGAAGGCTGTGCGCAGGTTCTCCTCCCTGTTCCTGCGAGGGGATGGCAGCCAGCACCTCGACAGCCCAACCAAGCTCAGCAGCTGCTCCTCCCTGCGGTACGTGACCCTTCTCCCACTGGCAGGGGCTGTGCCTGG